CCCCATGTTTCCCCCCCTCCATTTTTGGGGGGTGGGGTTCCCCCTTAACATTTCTACCAGACCTTATGGCTTTTGATGGGAACCCCACACACTTTTTTTTAACTTGAGGGGGGTCCCTCCTAACATTCCTACCAGACCCTTAATCTGAGCACAGGATCGGATCAAAGGCAGGAAAGGCGGGGGGGGGCGATGATGTTACTCTCTAAAGGGCCAGGTACATATTTGTGGGGGAACCCCACACACTCTTTTTTTAACTTGGGGGGTCCCTCCTAACATTCCTATCAGACCTAAAGGGTCTGGTATCAATTGGAGGGGGGGGACCACACGCTTTTTTTTTACTCCAATGGCACCCCCAGCGGATGTGCGTTGCAGCACAACATGCAGTACCGCAATTCCATGCATTGCACTGAGGTGATAAGAGTAGCATACGTGTTACTTTTTTTCTCAATGTAACACACGGTAGTGCGGTATTGTGCTGCAACGCACGGCCTCCAGAAGGTGCATTGGGGTGCCATCAGGGCCGGATTTCCCACAAGGCCAACCAAGGCCCGGCCTCTGGGCAGCAGGGAGTAGAGGGGCAGCAGGGGTGTTGAATTCTTATCTCCTGACGCCTGGGGCATGCAGTTCCGGGCGCCGGGCGGGTAGTTGTTTTTGGGGTTAGCAGGTAGGGGGGCACATTGAGGAACCTCGCCTTGGGGCAACAGAGAGAGTAAATCCGGCCCTGGGTGCCATTGAAATGAATGACAATGCAACACACCAAGGAACGGTACCGCATGCTAGGTGCACTGCGCTATAGCGTGATCTAATTGCATGGATAACGCAGGTTAAGCGCCATCCAGTGGCGGGGCCCCAGGGTGGGCTGTAGAATTCCAGGAAGTATCAGGATTTTTTTTCCTGGGGTGGGATGGGAGGGGGGCAGCTCTGGAATTTTCACCTCTCCGCAGCAAGTGGTGGGCACATCAGTGCGTGAAGTTCCCGACAGGTCCCAATGTACACTAACGCTCTCATTTTCCAGAAAAGCTCGTTAAGTGCCCACTCACTTGTCCATTCTTGTGCGTTGTGTTAACGCATGTTAACCAGATTTTTGTCACATGTTAACATGCGTTGCCTCAAGGCGTCCCTTTTATTTTGAATGTGCTGCCAATGCACGGCATGTTTTGCGGCACGCTACAACACAGGTGCATTGTCTTAGTGAGTCGTGGTGACATTCAAAATGTGTTTCTATGCTTCTGATGTGAAAGAGCAGCTACTGATGTGAATTGAGGCTTCTAATGTGGAGGGGCTACTGGTGCAAAGGGGGGCTCCTGATGTGAAAGAGGAGGGGCTCCTGATGTGATGGAGGAGGGGCTCCTGATGTGAAGGAGGAGGGGCTCCTGATGTGAAGGGGCTCCTGATGTGAATTGAAGCTTCTGGTGTGAAAGGGGGAGGGGCTCCTGATG